GCAGCGTCGCACCGCTGATGCTCGACGTGAGAGGCGCCGTTGCTTTCTCAGAGGAGTTCGCGGCTGTTGGGTTCTGAAGGCAAAGCGCCTTGCGCTCGGCTCCCCCGCGCCGATGGCAGGCTTCAGGCGTGAGCGCCAGCGGGGCAGCGCCAGACAGAACCTCGCTGCAGGGATGGACTTCCACACCTCGCGGGGCTCGAGAAGCGGACGAGGTAGCTGTCCTCGAGGCTGCAGCTGCGCTCAAACTACACTCGGCACAACCTTCGATGCAGTTGTTTTCCCACTAACAGGTATCTTTAATTATTTTAGCCAGATTTCACTAATAAATCTTTAACGCTGCTGAAGGTAGTGAGAGTAAGGATCGAGTCCTGTATGGAAAAATGCATCAACGTGATTAAGTCCGAGTGCTTAACTATTAAATCAGTTTGTGAAGTGATGGCAACCTTGTTAGGTAAAAGGGCACACTCGGCAGCAGACATCATAAAATCAAGTTATCCCTGTCCTTTCCTCCCCTTTCTTCTTCAATATACAACCTGTTCCTCCTCCCAGCAAACTCTAAATAGACCAACCAGTTCGTTGATGAGTGCAGAAATCAGCCTTTCCCTTCCTAAGGGCACTAGTTGGAATTTCTCTCCATTGACAGCCATCATTTTTCACGAAAACTGTAGGAACTTAATAAACTTCAGATATCTTACTCTCTCAAATTAGGCTGAAATAAACACATTAAACGTAAGAAAAAAAAAAAAAATCCCTTTTACGGCGAGGGTGGTCAAACACTGCAACAGGTTGCCCAGAGAGGCTGTATGTATTCATCCCTGGCATTTTTCAAGACGCTGCCCAGAGCAACCTGCCGTAGTCGGCCCTGCTCCGAGCAGGGGGTTGGACCGGACAATCTCCAGAGGTCCCTTCCAACCTCAGCTACTCTGCGAGTCCGCAGTTTTGCCAGACTGTGAAAAAACCAAGGCAGTTCACATCAAAGGAAAATTTAAAAGGGTCAGGGACCAGGTTCAGGGGTTAGGGCAGGGCTCAGGGACAGGAGTCACGTAAACAAAAGCGCAATGAATCTATGGCCTCGTCTCCTTAGCTTTCATCATTTATTCAGGAATGTAAGTACAATTAAGTGGCTTGCGTTATTTGTCTTAAAAACCCACTCAGGAATGTAAGCAAGAATATGGAAGTGTCACATGGCTAACAAGACTCTTCAAAAATGCATTGACTATAGTCCTGTAAATATCCAAGATAAAATACCAACCTCAATGTTTTTTAAGTCTCCAATTTTAAGTACTATCACTAGAATTTGTATAGTTAACATTAACAGCTTTCCAACAGTGTACTTACAACTCCTAGACACCAGAGAAATACGTGCTTGTCAATCATCCAGGAGCTATGACCAAGATGCTTGTGTGTCAAATGAGAATGGACTGAGCTTTCATTTACACAACTAATTTAACATTTCCTTGTTTGTCAAGTTCCGCAATAGCAAGTTCTTTCAAGATTCGTATTCTTGAGTCAGTGGCTTTCATATTCATCTTGTTCATCTGCGAAAACACTCAATGCTGCTCTGTAAGACAAAAACAAGCTATTTAGCAAAACAGGGTATCAAACATCAGGTCTGGCAGAAAAAGGCTAAAATGCGCATACAGTTTAAGGAATGATTTTTGCGAGCGCTCTGTATTTCTCATTCTTGTTCAAGTTGCCACCAACTTTTCTGTGCTACTTCAAATTGAGAACAGTCATTTGCTAATCCAACCTTAGGCTTAAAGAGACAATTCCTGAGTCAAAAACTTCCGCATTTTTAATATCAGCCTGCAAGAAATGCGCAGCGCACATCCCAGACAGGGGTCAGGGCTCGGAGAGGCCGGAGGGGTTGGTCTGGGGAGGGCAGGGTTCAGGGGTCACGGTTTAGGGGTCACAGTTTAGCATCAGGGCTTTGCTTTTCTGGTCTGGATGCAGACTGCAAAAGCTAAAAGGGTTTGGTGGTATGACTGTGTCAGCAAAACTTTCCTGAATAGACCCAGTTTTGAACATCTGTACAGTGAAACCAAAGTGAACAAATCTGTTTCTGAGGAACCTGACATTCAGTTTTGAAAACTATCAAATCATACAAGCCATTTTTATACAAATTAATTTAGAGGGTTTTGTATGATGGCCTAACGCTTTGGGGTATGTGCCTAACCGAGAAGAGTGTAGGGGAGTAAAATCAAATTATGAAGTTGTAATATAGCAGCGAATGGTTAACTAGCTGTTGTGGTTTAACCTCAACCAGCAACTGAGCCCCACACAGCCGC